GAAACCCAACAGACACTATAGCACTACACCTATATACACGCACGCATTTAATATTATGTGCGTGCGTGCGTGCGTGCATGTGTGCGCGACATACATATATACATATTTACTTATTACTAATTAAATACAATCAATTCTAACAAAATTATTTCACACAGTGCACTTGTTCGTCTTTTAATGTTGATGTTATGTACAAGAAAATCTATTCTGCCACTGTTGCAGGGGTCTAGCTAACCCATTTTGCTCGGGGGAGCAACCATGTGCAGATTACCGAGTTCTATGTAAAGCCGGTAACCGTGGGCAATTCGCCATTGACCATCCAACAATTTTATCTTGGATGGGTTGATGCCCATTAGCTACGCCCTGTGTTAGTATTGTCTAAGCGACTAACCATTTCAGTAAACCAATTTGGACCAGGTATGTCTTTCATCTACATGTAAGTAGATTTTGTTGAGGAATTAGTCTCGAGACATATCTAACATCCTGCGCTTCCATGCCTCGTAGTCATCCGCCTTGCCATCCTGAGACGAGTCTTTTTGCTTCTTACTGTTTGTCTGCAACTCATCTGTTAACACAATGCCTAGCTATCATTCTACAGTCAACCTACCATGCAGTCAACAGACAACAACAAATCACACCACATTATCTACTTTCTGATACTGCAATTGGATCAAAATTCCATTATCTAAAAGATGAAGCTGCAAAACATACTACTGACAAAGGTGAGTATCAGTGTTTGACCGATATATATCATAATATAGCACTTTATTCGTATTACTGAGACCGGCCTGTACACTGCATGCACCTGTCGACATTTTTATGATTGAATAGAAATGACTAAAATCATAAAATACCAGCTCTCTTTCTCAATTCGGCTTTCTCCTTTTTTATTTAATTATATTTATTCCTAGCTAAAATTCTCAACTTTTATTTAATTTGTGTAAAAATCATTGACTACAAAACATTAAAAATTAAAAATAATGACTGATACCGCAGTAACATTCATTATTAACAATTAGAGTTTCAGCAGGAGAAAGCACCTAATATAAGGTGGCACCACTATACAACTGGTAACCCAAAAAACCAGCAATGCCATGTCTTGATATTGTCAAGAGCTCATAATACATTGTGTTTGTATTATATTTATGCAGTTATACACGTAATACCAGTAATGATCACAAAGACTGTAATAAATCCTTGCTTTAAAAGTGATGTTGTCTGGATCATACACTAAAAAAACTGTTTGGAACATTAATCTATTACCTAATTCTACTATCTAACTTCTCGACTTCTTCCAACTTCTACCAAATAGAGAATTCCCTCTGACAGAAAACAGTGCTGTTATGTAGTCCTCATATTTTTCCTGTTTTCCTGTTATTTTTCCTGTTATGTGGTCTATCATATTTTTCCTGCATATAACTGAGCAGGGATCCATCTAACTTGTAGTTAACACAGCGTGCTACGTTGTGCAAGTGCTAAAAGGAGCACCTGCTATTTAAATACCTTTACCTTTGTCCTAAGCTACTAACCTCTTTTTATCGATTCCTCTACACTCTGCAGGAAAGACTTCGCTGGTCTTTTGGTGCCTATCAGTTGTTTTTTGTCATCTGAAAAATGTGAATTACGAAAATGGCAACTCAAATAACAGTGTTAATTGTTAAAAATACTGTTACAAAGCTTCCAATAATAAAATGCAACCAACATATAAACCCAATCCACCCAAAATTAATAACTATCCATTACAATGTAACTTGTTGTAGATTTTTGTTCTCTGGCATGCAAAGACTCATGTATATAAACACATGCATAGAGATAAGTGGGAAAATTTTTATATACGTTCATACCAACAAGAATGTCGACATGGTTTTCTAGCAGCTTGCACATTCTGTCAAATGTAGTACTTGTACAGCCAGCAATGGAAACTAGCTTACTCTTGTCTACTTTGCTTTTCAACTTCCTGCAAACAATTTAAAAACGGAAAACCAAGAATAACAAAAAATAATAACAGAAGTTAAAATTAAACAATTCTAGTGGGACTGAGGCAACTATAATGCATTAATGAACGCACAAGTATTAATCAGTGCTCTACTTTCATCTTTTCACTTACTATTTATTGTTATGTTAAAAAATACTAGCCAAATGAAAAATGATTACCTGATAATATGCATTACTTATAATACATACTTTACTAATTAGAACATATTATGACATATTTTAATACTCCAGTCTTTGTATTTATATGACAAGCACTGATATTAGGCACTATCATATATATATATATATATATAGAGATAGATATATATATCAGGAGTAAATAATCTCAAAGGAGTTTGACACGTATTTTCTCACATTTTTCCCGTTTTTCCACCTCAAATTTCAGCATAATATAAAACAAAAAAAATGTATGTTATTTTATTTCGTACCTTTATTAATCGCCTAGTCGGTCATTTTGCTGTAAATTGCATTCAAACACGGTGTTGATTCAGAGGCTTTCAGCATGGTGACACATCTATGTAGGTGTGTATTTTTTATCGATACTGGAGACAACTGCTCTAATCCTATACATGCGACGTGACAGGAATTGTAATGTTTTCATCTCGCGAGTGAGAAATATATAACATCACTTATTTAATAAGTTTACAATGCATCCAAGATCTAGTACGATATATATTAACAGCATAGGGACAAATTAACATGCCGAAGGCCTCTGAATCAACACAGTTTGAATACAATTTACAGCAAAATGACAGTAAATAGTTACAACCCAATTTCAGTACAAGATAGGTGAATAACAATGGTATATGACATAAGCTCAAGAACATAAACATTTCTATTTTTTCATTATGCCAAAATTTTGGAAAGTGGAATAATGGTAAAAACACGGGAAAATGTGGCAAACTCCTTTGAGATTATTTGATCTTGATAAATAAATATATATAGATATATATTCATGCAGGCAACAGTTTATTGGTACTTACTTTGAAGTTACATACAGGGCAGCGGTCTGGTACAGAGCCATGTCTAAATCGATTGTGCTCATCCTGTTCTGATAGCTACAATAAATGATAATTTTGCACCTTTTTTCTACAAATAGCTGATTAATTTCCAATGAATTTTGAACAAAACTGCTGTTCTGATCAATGGGATCAGTCATTAACATTCTTTACCTTTTCAAAACTTTTCCAGCTAAGTCACTACACTCAGATGAACACCCAAACTGGATAGCCAGGTCCTGGACGTTTGTTTTAGGTGCTAAGTTAAGCAAAGTCTCAAGTACTTTTAATGTTCTGTTGTATATTGCCTTTGTAGTTCCTGCCAACTTTGCTGCTACTGCCTGAAAACATGGTAAATACATATATATAAACATCAGTTTACTGCATATATCAGTATTAGTTGGTAGTGTGCCAATCATATCTTTCCACGACAAAATATACGTAAATGCAAACGTACACTACCAATGGTAAATGAAGTACCAGTGGGCAGTATCATCATTGTATTCCAGCCGTAGCATATGCAGTCGAACATATCTTTTAAAATGGTAAACTATGCAAAAAATACTCCTTATTTTCAAACATGAAATTTCAAGTTAATTTCATACGTATTACTATTAGTATTACATTACAATCTTGTTATGTTTAATTATTATTGAGTAGTACAAAACTCATCAGTGAACTTACCCTGTCGAGGTTTTGACTGTAGGACATACAAGCCAATTCTATGCTCATAACATTCTTACATGAATCAGACATACAAATCCCAGGGGCCTTCACATTGATCAGTCGCGACAGTTCAGCTGCTTTTCTGTAAAACAAACCTCAATCACATAAATAATGGTATATATCACATTCATCTTTTTTACAAAACAATAAGCTGGCTCTTTACTTTATATATTTGCTGTGATTGTGTAAAACAAAGCGAGCGTCGTGCGAATTTTGCGGTTATGCTTTCCGTTTATAACTTTGTTGTTTATGCACAGCGCAGCGTTCACGCGGTGTACAACACTGTGACACTAGTGAGTGTCACTGTCAGTACAGACACTGAGACAGTGACAGTAACACTAACAGTACTGTGTACAGACTTACACTTACAGTGAATAGTGACACCAACTCAACTGTCTGTATTCAAACAAGCATTAGTTTGCCTAGCTTACCTAAGGATTCTTGGTGAAATAATTCCAAGTTTCTGAGCAAACTGGTTTTGAAACTCAGTGTCCATTTCTTTAGCAAAATGTTTCTATCCTACAATGCGTTTACGAATGTTCCCGCGTCTCGAGTAGACTGGTCCGCGCTCGCCAGTTCCACTCGCGTTACACTGACCTATGCACTGACGCGTCAGTGTAACGCGAGTGGACTGTGGAACTGTCGAGCGCGGACCAGTCTACGTCTCGAGCAGTTTTGTTGCCTCGCAAGATCTCACGTGAGAAAACGAGATCAAAATGGTAGGTGTTTCTGATTGATTACAAAACTCCTGCCGAAAATTAGTTACAGTATTGTCTGTTATCATCTAATTTATTTAACACCGTTGCGAATATCCATGTTATAATTTATTCTAAATTTATAAATGTTATTTTGTGTATAGTTTCTAAAGGGTAAGGCGAAAGGAGTACATAATTTCAGAGCAAGAGCCTGAAGAGGGAAATTTTACTTGCACTTTGCAATGTAAAACATGTCAAAATGTCATAGGCAATGTCAAAATTTACCAACTTGACTTGTCATTATTGGTATAAAAAGTAATAATTTCACTTACTCGTTGTTCAAACGCTATATTCCAAACGTTGTTGCCAGTTGTCACCACACTACCATCGCTGCATGGAGTCGATGAGAGAGAATGTAACCCACTGGCACTGGCACTGTGACTGTCACTGTCAGTGTCACTGACACTGGCAGTGACTGTGTCTGCTGAAGTTTATCGTAGGATTATTGCTTAAAAGTATCACCCAACCTACTCCCAACCAATCTAGGGTTTAGCTGCAAGAATTCCACGTCAACAGCAATTGCCTTTTATGTACAGCTTGCTAAATACAGCATTTTATGCAAAGCCATGTTGAAATCAAACAATCCCAATAATATTCATCAAATCACAGGAAGTGACCTCATAATTTTCGGTTCATGGATATAAGCGCTGACCACAATTCATTTTCGCAATGTGCGACATGTGCAAATGTGCAAATGTGGACAGCTCTTATATCCTTGGGCTTAATTTTCCACCAATGAAAATCATACTGGCCTAAAATGGACAAGAAAGAGCAATCACAGCAGTGCAATATTGTTTGATGCTATCTGCATTTATTTTATTCCCAGAAATAAAAGCCTTTCCGAAGTAGTTCTGCATATACACTGTTGCAAGTTCTACTGCTTTTTAAACTGAATGTAAGCGTACACCACCGAGATACACCATGGTGAAACTGTTGCAACCGTTCCAAAAAATTTAAAACATTCAAGAATGAAACAGATTTGTTAGTACCGGCCTTTGTAAAATTGATATGAGTGACTTGTATTTTTTTGTAGCCGACCACTCCGTTGATGTCGCCGGCAGAGGAGCAGGAGAAGCTGCTGGAGCAGGCCCTGGGGGCTGTTAAGAATCAGGCCTTCCAAATGAAAAGATGCTTGGTGAATACGTAGTTTCACTTGTCATATCATTATATTATGTATCACATAGTAACATTTTTAGCTAAGCTGACGAAGTCAGATGCAGCTTGTAGAATCGCATGAATGTCCGTGCGTGCGTGCGTGCGTGCGTCCGTCCGTCAACAGTTACGGCACAAATCTTTACCGCTCGACGTACGGTCTTGATATTCGGGACGTTGGGGGATCGCGAAAAGGACTCGGCATGGCAAATTTGGGGTAATATGCTTTGAGCGCGAACGCGATGACGGTAGGGCGCACTTGATTCGGTTGCCAGTGAGTTTATCAGAAGAATACCCGGCTACAGTACACGTCAGTTGAGCGCTGTCGCTCTGCGGCACTTGTTTATACTCATTTCCAAGAATTGTTTGCATGGAATTGTGTGTATAGAATGGAATGTTCTTTGATTGTTTCTGCTTTACATTGATGACTCAGTAGCAGGGTGCGAAATTACACGGTAAAAAACTGCTGTTACCAGCCCTCTGGGCCAGTGCAAAAAAATCTGAATTTCATGCCCTGCAATAGAAATAATAGAATGATTGTTAGCAAAGCTATGAAATAGGAAAATAATTGGGAAAATTCAGTGCTTTATGCTTTTCATTAATAGTGTCAACAGATATTTAGAATCTTGAGCAAATTTACATTTTGTTACAGGACAAGACCAAACTCATGGATGGGTTGAAGCATGCATCTGACATGCTTGGGGAGCTCAGGACTTCGATGTTGTCACCAAAGAGTTACTATGAGCTCTGTATCCTTTCTTTATATAAAAATTTAAAATATTGTAAAGCATAGTGAATGTATATTCATATGTCTTGATCACATGTTAACTAAGAATCATAATGTTTTTATACATAATAAATAACTAGTTTTACCACAATATATAACTGGTCTGACTTTTTTAAGGCGCTTAAGAAATGTAAATTAGGGCATTTCAATTTTATATTACCTAGAAAATGGGAAATGTTTTGCCGCGCATATGTTTGATTATCATAAAAGAATAGTTATAGTGAATATGAAGTATGGTGAATTTACTCTACTGAACAGGAACAGTAGCAATAGTTTTATAGTTTGAATTGTTGGGTCATGTTGGTCCCTAAATACATTTAGCCATTGTTCTTGGCCAGTGCCAGTTAGTATGACCTACACATGTTCAGGTGATTTCTTATTTAGTACAGATACAGTTAACTAGAAACTAATATAAGGGAATTAGAATAAAGGAAAACCAAGATGTGACTGCGATGTAAATGTAGATGTTGGAAATAGCTTAACTATAAATGTGCAGACATGGCAATATCAGATGAATTACGGCACCTGCAGCAGTATCTCGTGGAGGAGTTCAGCAAGGGCAGGAAGGTTGCTGATCTCTATGAGCTGGTTCAATATGCAGGAAACATTGTGCCACGTCTGTAAGTCGTATATAGAAACAGCCATCGTGACTCTTTGTCCCATGATTGACTCCACGTCGCACGTGTGCTCGGTATAAATGGCTTTCGATGTGTCGTTGTGTCGTACATTTCAGCTACCTTCTCGTCACGGTCGGCGTCGTCTACATCAAGTCGAACGAGAACTGCAGAAAGGACATCATGAAGGACCTGGTGGAGATGTGCCGCGGCGTACAGCACCCTCTGCGCGGCCTCTTCCTTCGCAACTACCTCCTGCAGTGCACACGCAACATTCTGCCTGACACCGAACAGGAATCGTCAAAGTATGGCTCGCAAAAGCAGATTCATATGCTAGATAAAGCACACATGCAGCGAAAAGTGTGTAGCTGGTTGGTGGGGGTGGGGGTATAAACATGATTTTGTCTACCAGGATTGATCTATAGTGCAATTATAGATTGGATTCGTTAAAGCAAGAGAACTAGCGTTGGTATCTGCAATCAGGGAAAATGTTGTTGGCTGTGACTGTAGAATGATTATGCTGCATTTCCTATTTCATTGAAATCTCTTTACGTACACATGTGAAAATTACTATATGTAAGGCTTCAGACTTTATAGAGACAATTTCATAGAATTGCTTGAATATGATACAGTAATACCCTGCAATATATAAATAATGCATTCCAGAAAGACTGTGTGTAACACGAAAACCCGTAGTGCTAAATCTTTTTGCTATTGATTTCCATTCTGTAATTTGAGATGCATTCCTAAAGAAATAAGATTTTAAGAATTAATGCAAGAATTAATACAAGTAAACAATGAATACAACTAAATCACTAGGAATAGGGTAAGGGAGAGGCACTATTACCAGATGTCTCGCTGCACTTTTGTTATCAATCATTTGTGGGTTTTGGTGTGTCCGGCTCTGACATGGAGGCCAAAATCTAGCTTAAGTTGGTTGCTGTTGACAGCAGAGCTTTTTTTATATTTCACTGTAGCAGTTCCAGCTGAGGAATTAATAATTCATGTGCCATGTGGCGTATATATAGTTTTTGTGATATATTGAATTTTTAATAAGTATAAATCATTTTAAACAATGTAATTTTTATCACGTCAGGTTTTTTAAAAGTCTATGACAGCTTTCAACAAATTATTATTTGAGGTACATGTTAAATAATGATGTTCTTGTTCTGTTGCTATTGTAGTAATGCAAGAAGTTTAGGCGAAAATCATTCAAGAAACACACAGCGTCACTTAGAGGAGGCTACAGGATGGTGGGTCTTACTGTTACAAATTATTGCAAGCTATACTAGCAATTAAGATGTCATGTAAACAATTGTCTGTAATTTAAAATCCAAATGATGTTCCATTACTCAGGATATTGCATTGGTGTTTTGTTAAACTTCTTCAGACACATGTAGGAATATCAACAGTTATTTCTCATTAAAATATTTATTGTTATAATTGTGTACATTGATGTGTAGTTGAAGGATGGGTGCACTCTTGTTATTCTTCAAATTGACTTATATTGGTGGAAAATGCTATAACTAGGAACGGATCTGTACTTATATTGTGAATGTGACTGTGAGAGTAAAGTAAGATCATGTACAAACAGCTCTTGCAATCATTAGGTTGATATTAGGGTGTGCCTATTCTTCGAATAGGTATCTAATATTAACGCAGTTTTGTTGCACCTAATTGTTAAACTGTTGCTGCCCGTGAGTGAGTCAAGACTATAAATGTAGACTTATATTCTTTTACTTGATTTTACTAGTACAAATTTACTATGTTGTGTGAAAATTCTGTTTGATCTGTTTCAGTGGTTCGGGAACTATCCAAGATTCTATCGATTTTATTTTACTGAATTTTGCTGAAATGAACAAGTTGTGGGTTCGAATGCAACACCAGGTAAACCTTTTTTGATCTTTATTATATATGTATATATATCACTATTAGTAAATAATAATTAAGTACTAAATAGCAAGAGTAACGACTAAAAAAAATATCACTAGCTTATTACCATATATTAACCCTATTTTATGCCAAGACATGTCTAACATCTAACATGTGACGTATTCTAATACAACACCAGGTAAAGCCTTTTTGACTGTTATCATGTATATATATATATCACTTTTAGTGAATAATAGTTAAATACTAAATAACAAGAGTAACAACTAAATAAATAGCAATAGTCTATTACCATTTATTTACCATATTTTATGCCATATAAGATGGGTCGCAACTTCCGTTGGCTAATGAAATGTTATAATAGGCTACTGATGCATCCTATCCAGCCTAACTCCAGACAAATGTTATATCATACTTTAACATTATTATTATTATTGCTATTATCATTGTAAAGGCATTTCCTAATGTCTTAGTTGCATGATTTATTTAATTGTTTCATCCAATGGAAATGTTTTTTTGCCATTAAATGTGTAAATAGACTAAAAACGTCTTGTCCTGCTGTCCTAGTTGCGTGTTTTGTTCAACGGTGGATCGATCCTTCTTGTAATGGAAAACGTTTTTTCTGCTATACAAATTCCAATAAAACGTTAAATGCACGAATATACTAAAAACCGTTTCCCTGTTGAAAAAGTGGGCATAAAATGTGGTCTTAAAAATAATATTTATTTAGCATAATGTAAAGTAATATTTTGTAAACATGTTTAATAGACATTAATGTTTGTTTACTTAGAGAAAATTGGTTTAGTTCAAAGAATGCATCCAGTTGAAATTTCAACATATTAATGATTTGAGCAATGTTGTAGGTCTGCTATCTAAAGCTGTGATATTGTGTAAGTGTGCTGTTCATGTAAAGAACATTATCACAGGGTCACTCACGTGATAAAGACAAGCGGGAACGTGAACGACAAGAGCTTAGAATCCTGGTCGGAACAAATCTCGTGAGATTGAGCCAGCTGGAATGTGTCGACATAGAAAGATTCAAGAAGGTGAGGTGGCAAACGTTTGGTGGATGACATTTTCATATGCAGGGTGCGAAATTAACATACTCATATGAGTCCGAAGTCAAATACTCCCTGATTTACTGTCGGACTCCCTGATTTGACATATGCAGGAGTCCGTGTGACTCCCTGAAAATTCTGCTATACTAACTAGTTTGTTCCGGAGCACGGCCTCGCGGAATTACTGTATTTTTTCAGCTAATGTCCAAACAAAATTTGGCAGACGTGCAATTGCATGAATCTTAAAAATAAGCACATGCGTTATTGTTAATATCTTAAATTTTTTAACTCAGACTGTGGACTCCCTTATTTTGCTGCGGACTCCCTCTTTTTGAGAGTAGGGAGTCCGTTGGACTCCCTTGTTCAAAAGTTAATTTCTACCCCTGCATATGTATTTTTTTTATACATATGTGATGTCAAGAACAGTTCTGTCATTTGCTACCAGAAGATGCGCAAATGTAGTTACAATTCAGTGGATGCTTTTGAGCAACAGTCCCGTTGCTGTGAGTGGAAACTGGAAAGTCAACTATAGGATTACTAGACTCCCAAGTTTGCATAAGGCCTGTGGAGGTTTAAGCTAAATGTGATTACATAAAAATAGTGAATTGGAGACTAATTATACTGCAACCCAAAACGTGAAGGTTAATCTTAGGTTAGTAAGGTCAGAGCTTTGGTTTAGGTTCTATTTGATTGGGTTTGCTTGAGTTAGGTTGAAATTTTAGGTAAAAGGGGCTATGCAAATAAAGCACCCGGCGATCTGTGCCCAGGATGAATCCGTTACTAGAGTAGATAGAAATAGAACTTATGTGATGGAAGAAATTCATTTGGCTGCCATGTTAAATTTAAAGAATGATCAGGCTTCCGAACGGTTATCTTCAGATTTCTTGAAGCTTTGGTTTCACATACTATGTTATATTTCTCAGGGTGTGTTGCCAGGAATTCTAGAACAGGCTGTCAGCTGCAAAGATCCGATTGCCCAGGAATATTTGATGGAGTGCCTTATTCAGGTGAGATGCCTCGTGTTAAACTGATTATTACGAGATTTTTGCTCAGAAAAACTCAATATAGCTGAATATAGTCTCATCTGACAGCGGAAATATCACTGATTACACCAACATTAAAAACACTAAGATTTTATGCAGTTATAGCATAGAAAAATGGATTTGACCACATCGTAACAGCAATACATTTTAACGTGTGCCGATAATTCAAATACAAATGGCCGCCGTGAGCCCATCATGCACCTGATTAAAACAAAGGGGCATGTATTTGTGTGTGCTAAATATTACTCGCTTGTCGTACACAACAGTGTAGAGGGCAATATCACAAGGGGGAGAGATCAGGATGTGCGTAGCACGGCTGCCAGTCGGCACCTGAAATGAATGAATGCCGCACGCAGTCAATGTACACACTGAGGCGCAGTGGAGAGTGTGTATTTGTGAGCGGTGAGCGAGCTTGGCTAGCACAAATCAAACAACCATGGAAGCAGTAGGGCATGTACTTTGGAGTTCAGAGAAGAAGAGAAGACGTTTTTTGCAACAGAGACGCTGTAGCGTTGAAGTTACACCAAGATTTGAATGAAATAATTTAGAGTAAAATAATCAAAGACGAAGTATAAATTTTGTGTTCACTAAAAGAATATATTGTTACAACTAATACTGGTCTCTACACGGTACACGCTAATACTCAGAATGGCAGATTCGAACCCCTGACCTTTATTCAAATCTCTATTTATATGCAAACTCTCCACCAATCACAAACAAGTCCAAACTCCTAACCAATTACACACAACTTCACCCTGCCTAACTAATCATACATACAATGCCTAGCGCTTTGTCTGTTCTAACCACCACATGTGTGTTCGCACATGTACCCGGTCTGCACCCCTGTCTAGACTAATATTCCTAAACTAACACGCTACATCGCACACGCAACCTACCATTTATAACCTACACAGCGTGCGAGCTTGGCGCTCGCCCGCTCGCCAATGTCGAGTGAAAATAATATCAGGCGAGTCAAAGCTAAAACTGACTCGCCCGTGTTGGCGAGTAAAAATAATTGCCTAAAGCTTTAACCAAATAATGGCTTCTTACGTTTTTTTATCCAAACATTGGATTGGTGAAAAACAGTTCTAGCGATGTTATCACGCCACATCCATTGTGTACATGCCGTGGTGGATGTCTACCATGCTCTGATTGAGCAGTCGCGATTCAGCTTAGCCAATCACCTACGGTATTATATAATACCAATTCGCACGCTGGCGCATCGATCACACATGTATGCGGCGTGTGTAGAATAGCGACGGGCTGCCGCGGCTACTGACTCGCCTTGATGTAAACAAATCAATAAAACTGGCGTACATAGTAGCGTATAGTAACACATAGTAACAAATAGTAACATTGCCGTTTCATTGATGGGGCAAAGCAACCCGACAAGAAAAGTAAATTAAATAAAAATAAAAACACAAAGGATTACGAACAAAACAGAAAACGTAGTTTTAATGAAAAATGGACAGTTGGGAGGCCGTGGTTTCTGTTTCTGTTGTAGTACGTTGCAGTATCCAAATTTGGCATCGAGGCAACGGGCTTTAGCTAGCCATGGGGTGTGACCTAGCTTGGGTAAAGCCAGGTAGTTTAGCCTTTTAGCCGAAAGGCACTGGGTCACAGCCAGAGTTTTTTTGCGCCCTCAGTGGTTCTTTTACGTCCCCATTGGCCTTAGTATTACTGGAGACGGGACCGCCATTTTACGTGGTCATCCAAGCCACGGGAGATTCACAGTCTCCAATGTTGAGAGCTAGGTTATTACACCTTGAGAAAATTAACTGCCCCGGCCGGGGTTTGAACTCACAGCCTTCAGTGGACAGTGTACGAGGAACAAAACACAACAGAGGGGATGAAGTGTGCTTGGTGTGTGGAGCACATCGACACCCTAAAAAGTCGAGGACTGATTAAGCGAAGCAGCACTTTTATTGACGGCTGTAACAGTTATAAGCGAGAATCAATATCCTATATCCTATACCATGAGCTGTCTGAGGCACACGCATGTGCTTCTGACCATGTATAAAGGCTGTACAGAATCCGAAAAAAGCCCCTGCTAACGTCGCGGTCGATCTTCTTCACACGCAGCATTCTGAGAAGCTCAGAATTTTGTTCAGGAATGCCCATGCATTGGCCAAGAACGGGAGACCATTTAGGGACTTTCAGTGGTTGTGCGACTTGGATAAAAAAAAAAGGGCCTCTCGATTGGCCCTTTTGTATTTTTGTAAATTTTTTACTTTGTTGTGATGGGTACCGAGGTACCCTACTTATAATGTGATCAATGAATTAAATGTGTAGTTTAAATCAATGGTGTTTTTTGTGTTTTTCCACTATTGTTTGACAATAATTTTTTGTTTTAAAATTTGGGCGAGTACAGATTCCATTCGGGCGAGTTAACTTATTTACTCACTCGCCCAGTTCGGCGAGTGTTTTTTTTTTAAAGCTCTAACCCTGCTACATGCTAACTGACTGACTACCCCAGCCCAGGCTATTTACAACTAAATCTAGCTACAGTTACTAATGTATGTAAACATCTGTACATCACATGTTACAACGCAATCAGTAAACAAAAGTTGTAATCATGCATATTTTGGTGAATACGAACGTTCTAAGACATGTTATCGTTACTCTAGACAATTGCTGTTACTCAAGCAATAACGGTAGGTATCATGAAAATTGGGGAAACACTGGAAAACTCTCGTAATAATTACTTGAAGTGGAGAGTTGAAACCTGAAATCCAGCTGTGTTGATACATCAGGATATAAGTTTAAATGTTGTGACTACTTTTAGGTTGAAGCATTGGAATCGATCTGTTCTAAACGTGCCAACAGATTTCGTTGAGTGTGCTTCAACTTTCATTATGTTTGGCACATCCAGGTATTCCAGACGAGTTCACCTGCAGACCCTGAATTCCTTTTTGCAAGCCTGTGCAGAACTGCATCAGCAGGTCAATGTGAAGAACGTGATCATTGCACTAATCGACAGGTATGTCATCGTTGTTTTAGAATGTCACATTTTTTCCTATGGTTTTGCTATGTTAATGATCATATATTGCTGTAATTACTATTTGCAGTGTGTGCTGTAAAGTTACTTCAGCAGTGTGGCATTTCAGTAGGCTCATTAGGTGGCATCAAGCACAAATATTTGCAATGGTGGCCCCAGACTATTTTAACCTGTCATGGTGTTCATGTTATGGACTTTTGTTTCAGACTGGCTCTCTTTCGCTCAGCGGAAGATGGAGCTGGGATCCCTGACAGCATTCAGCTCTTCGACATATTTCACAACAAGTTTCTATTGTTATCCAGTAAGTCAGTTGAGTATATTTATGTTTATTAATAATTATGGTCAAAATTATTATTATAAAGGCATAATCTCTTCAGTCAGCCAGTAGAAATACTTAATATGACCTTAATCCTAATAATAATTTTGAATGAATATCTGTTGAGTGTGTTTCTGGTTTTCATAGGCACGGCAAGACATGCCTGCAGAAGATGTGGTAGCTCTTCAAGTGTCCTCATCAATCTCGCTCTTAAGTGCTATCCAGATAAGTTGACTATGTGATAAAGTGCTAGAGACAACAGTGGACATCTTCCAAAAACTCAGCGTAGAGAAGTACGTAGTGTATGATTGCGATTGCTGTTGTATTATGATAATGTGATCAACTACTTGAGTAGAAAGTCATAAGGAAGTAAACACTTGAGGATGATAAATTGATGGGTAAAATCTAACCAAATACGTATAAGCTGGCAATGATGTTATACTGGGGTTCCTAAAAGATAGTAGTAAATGTGTTGTAAGTAGACAGTAATAATTTTACAACAGCGCTTATAAGAGACACAGGACAGAGTGTAATACCAATGTGTTTTTATGACATATAGGATAGATGGTAATACAGTTGTGTTTTTATGACATATAGGATAGACAGTAATACAGCTGTGTTTCTATGACATACATGATAGAGTCATAGACAGTAATACAGCTGTGTTTCTATGACATACATGATAGACAGTAATACAGCTGTGTTTCTATGACATACATGATAGACAGTAATACAGATGTGTTTCTATGACATAAACATGGAAGACAGTAATACAGCTGGTTTTCTATAACAACCTGATAGACAGTACTAGCAGTTGTGTTTTCTAATGACATACATGACAGACAAGTAATACTAGGCTGTGTTTCACATGACATACATGAAGACAGGTATCAACAGCTGTGTTTCTAATGACATACCCTGAAGACAGTAATACATCTGTGTTTCTATGACATACATGATAAGACAGTAACTACAGCTGTGTTGTACTATGACATACATATAGACAGTAATACAGCTGGTCTATGACATACATATAACATAAACAGCTGATGTAATGTCCTGATAACAGTAAACCGCTTGACTACGAATAGACAGTAATACATCTGTGTTTCTATGACATACATGATAGACAGTAATACAGATGTGTTTCTATGACATGTAGGATAGAAAGTATTACAACTGTGTTTCTATGACATCAATAAGTCATAAGACAGTGTACATCAAGCTGTGTTCCTCATACATACATCATAGAGTAAGACAGATACCAGCTGTGTTTCTATGAATATGATAGACAGTAAACAGTGTTTCTATGACATCACAGATAAGACAAGGTAATACAGCTTGTGTTTTATGACATAACATGATAGACAGTAATACACTGTGTTCTATGACATAACATGCATAGTACAGCTTTTATGAACATATACAGTAATCACTGTGTTCTATGACATACATGATAGACAGTAATACAGCTGTGTTTCTATGACATACATGATAGACAGTAATACAGCTGTGTTTCTATGACATACATGATAGACAGTAATACAGCTGTGTTTCTATGACATACCCTGATAGACAGTAATACAGCTGTGTTCTATGACATACATGATAGACAGTAATACAGATGTTGTTTTTATGACCATATAGGATAGACAGTTATACAGCTATTGTTTCTATGACATACATGATAGGGAGGTCATCAGACAGTAAATAGCGATGTTTCTATGACATATAGGATAGACAGTAATACAGCTGTGTTTCTATGACATACATGATAGAGTCATAGACAGTAATACAGCTGTGTTTCTATGACATACATGATAGAGTCATAGACAGTAATACAGATGTGTTTCTATGACATGTAGGATAGAAAGTAATACAATTGTGGCGAAAGAACTGACAAAGCTGCTGAAGATTCCTGTGGACAACTACAATGATGTGCTGGTCCTGATGCAGCTGCAGCACTTCCAGCCTCTGATAGAGTACTTTGACTGTTCAGCACGAAAGTCCATGGCCACATACATCATTGAGAATGTGTTGGACAACAATACCCTTATTCCAACTCAAGAGCAGGTAGTGTCCGAGTAGCGGAGGTTTTCCTTTTGTACCCAAATCGTCTAGCTCTATCGATTTTTGTACTGATATTGCTTTAATGGCCTCTAGTCGTTTGCATTGTGAACAGAGACAAAGTGATGAAGACAAGTATAATAACGTATGATGCCATGGTGTTGCTTAACATCGTGCACACTGCATTAATGCATGAAAATGGAGCCAGCTGAATGTTAGCCTGAAAAGGTTCATTTGAGCGAGTAAATTGGAAGTGTTACTGCCCAAATTGAAGATTGCTGGCCCAAGTTGATTATTGATATTTTTCTATTTTACGATAAATAAAATTCTGAACGAACCCACAGAGGTTTTCGGTAACTGATACGGCCCAGATTTTGCCATAATGCTGGCTAGCGTAATAGGCTAGTGTAATTAATAGTCCACAGCAGCAATTACATACAGTTTTCAACTCCTCCTCCTCAAGTACTTGTCTCCTAACTACATGCTGAAGTATAACCGCTCTAACATCCCTATAGGCCTACCGCTTTCTAATGTAGAGATGGTCCTTACACCATCCACCCTCACTTTACATGGTTCCTGAAATGGCCAGCACATGAGTTGGTAAAAGCTTGCATAGTACATGAGACGTTGTGCAGGCGTCGAAATAAGCGATGGTCCAGGGCCATCAAATAATCAGGAGGGCCATCAGATTTTCAAAGTCAATGGTCCGACGGACCATTGAATATTTTGGTCCCATTTTACGGTAATTTTCTTTGAAGTTTCCACGTTTTGATTATTGCTAATCCAGTGTTGACCATAGCTTGATATTCATTGTAGGTGAATAATTAAACCATTTTATCACCATGTAAAATCTCTTTCCTACACTTGCACGCCGCATTACTGTTAGAGAACAATTTGAAATTTAGGAGGACCATCTAAATTTTAAACTAGATGACCTGTGGACCATCTCTTTTTTTCTTCTTATTTCTACCCCTGTTGTGGATTGAGACGTTCTTCTCATATCGGTGGCGACTGTGCTTGTTGTAGGTTGATCAGGTACTGCTCCTGGTATCGCCTCTTGTCACCGATCAACAAGATCAACCAGCCGGTGAGGAGGATCCTGAAGACTTTGCAGAGGAGCAGGGACTGATGGGCCGATTTATAAACCTGCTGCAGTCTGACAGCCCGGATCAACAGTATCTGGTACCGGCGAGAAAATTCTGTATAGTGCATGTTACCCAAAGGGTTACAATGTGTCCTGCAAAGTATTCATCCAGCGAGACAATGGCTATCCTTCACATACTGTGTTGATGATGGGTATAGGGTTTACTAGAGCTTCACATAGGGGTCACCACAGTAGGCAAACATTAGCTCGAATCTCACAACATTGCTACTAATTTAAATTCAATGCTCTGTGTGATGGCATTAGGGGACTTGCCTTAAAGATGCTTTTTCTGGGGTGTTGGCTATCTAACAATGCATGCAAAAGGTAAAATTGTGCAATGTACTCTCTTATATTTATTAATGATGTGTATGTGTTGTGGATTGCACATGAAAGTGTACTAGTTGCATATGTATCACACACCTGCGAGATGGCTTATGCTTAGAGATTATCATGTACCAGTTTTGTTAAGGCCTGGGGGGGTGGCTGTATAATTATTGCAATGATGATATATGACCCTGACACAGTACATCTTTTTCAGATACTTAACACAGCACGACAACGTTTTGGAACTGGGGGAAACAAGAGAATAAAATTCACACTGCCACCAATAGTGTTTGCTGCCTACAGATTGGCCTTTAAGTACTGGGATATACGTGATCAGGTCTGTTGAGTAAAGCACTATTCTAAACTTTCCATTGTTCCTTCCTAAGTGAAGTATATTGTAGCTTTCCTTATAATTTTCTGGTTATTGTCTTATCAATAACCTTTTTTTATTTTAGTAGCATAATTAATATTTTATTTTGGTATGCATGGCAAGAAATTAAAATGAGATCGTGTTTATCAGTGTTGGTTGGTTCCTGAAATAATTTTTTTCTACTAGGATGACAAATGGGAGAAAAAGTGCCAGAAGATATTCCAGTTCTGCCACCAAACAATCAGTGCGCTCATCAAAGCCGAGTTTGCTGAATTGTCACTGCGCATATTCCTCCAAGGCGCAATCGCTGGTGGACAGATTGAGTTTGACAACCATGAGTCTGTAACATACGAGTTCATGTCTCAGGTAATACGAGGTGTCACGTCTACCAGTGTGGTATGTCTACGTGGTTATGCATGGTATATGTAATTCTCATTGTAGCGTAAGTGCCCCAACATTTATTCTGCTTTATCCAGTATAAGCGTGTGGTAATCTATAATATCAGAAGTAGATAATAGGGAAGGAGTGTGACTTCAATAAACAAGGGAAATTCGTCATTTACTAGCCTTAGAATACCTACGATTTACTACGCGTAACTCAACCAACTTGAGCTCAAATCGTACACAGTACATTCGCCTAACATCGTGCGAAATCGTTTCCTCGTATACACCCGCAACCCGGAGATACAGACTAAAACGTACGACACGATTATCCATTCTGTTGCCAGCAAAACGAATGTATAAACCAACTAACTTGAAACAAAAGGCAGCTACTAGCAAGCCACACCGCATCGCCGAGGGAGCAAGAGTGCGCAAGAGTCGCTAGTAGCTGCCTTTTGTTTCAAGTTGGTTGAGTTACGCGTAGTAAATCGTAGGTATTCTAAGGCTAGTAAATGACGAATTTCCCTTGTTTATTAAAGTCACACTCCTTCCCTATTATCTACTTCTGATAATATATATCAAATTGTAATATTTGTTATATACACATGTGCTTACAATATAATGCGCGCAATTGTAGCGTGTGTTCTGTACTCATTTCTGTAGGCGTTTTCGCTGTACGAAGACGAGATCAGTGACAGCAAAGCACAGCTGGCTGCTATTATGCTCATCATCTCCACGCTGGAGCGCATGGCCTGCTTCAGCGATGAGAACCATGAGCCCCTGCGCACGCAGTGCGCACTCGCCGCCTCCAAGCTGCTGAAGAAACCAGACCAGTGCAGGGGCGTGTGCACGGTCGCCCACCTGTTCTGGTCGGGCAAGAATTTGTCTAGCAAGGGAGAGGAGGTGAGACCCAAGTGCGGAGAGCGATCGGGCTGGTGCGAGTCGCGATCACGGACCTGGCATCTGTTAGCACTAGGGTGTCGACCTGTGTCACTCCATAGCTGAGCGGGCGCTTGCGAGAATGAGCGGGCAAGATCAGATATGACGTCGAGTAAAATTAGCAGTCTACATGCGCTGCCAGTGTGTCAGGGCTTTCAAGGGGTAGCTTTAAAAATGAGTGAGATTTATTTTGAATCAGAAAATCTAAGGCCAAAGAGGTGGGTGGAGGGAGGGGGGTGCCCCCCTCCCCTAGTAGGAAAAACAGTTTTTAAAAATGGGGTGCTATTTGATGCCCTCAGCAGCAATCTGAACATGATATTTGTTGCTTATATAAGCATGAATAAACATACAATGTACATAAATCGGCTTGACCCACTCCATGCAATGAAGAAAAACTGGATTCTTGCAATTGCGTGAGATTTTCGGGGACTATCAGAAATGTGCGTGAGAGCGTGAGATTGTGCTGGATTGCGTGAGTCTCACGCCAAGTGCGCGAGGCTTGTGTTGTGAGCCCTGGTGTGTAATGATTAGGTGTAGAGATAAGAGTCTCACCTTGGCATGTAACATGCAAGAACAATCGAGGAAATTTATGCCACATAGCATGTTACAGTTTCTGATGGTTCATGTGATGGCAGTGTGTTTAAAAATACCAAATATATGTAATTGTCTTCATTTTCGATTACCCAATTTAGTTAATAGACCCTTATGTGTCGCCCACGGGGAAAAAATGTGCATTGTTCTATCACGTTTGATATTTGTTTGGCTATACAGTCCAGTGAAAAATCATTCTGCATTTATTACTGTAGCTACGCGATGGAAAGAGAGTCATAGAATGTCTGAAGAAAGCTCTGAAGATCGCCAACCAGTGCATGGACCAGTCTGTGCAAGTCCAGCTGTTTGTTGAAGTGCTGAATCAATATATCTACTTCTATGAGAAAGGGAACGACCAGGTTAATACTATTTTTAGTGTATTTAAGTTGGTTCTCATCTCAGAAACAAACACTCACTCACAATGAAATGTCATATTCCAGGGTCCCTAGGTTATGAACATTATTGATTTCTGTGTACAGGTAGTGAATCATGAATATTAAAATAATTAATGTGGCATTGTTCATAATTCAGGGACAGGAAGCATCTTTGATGTAGTTGATGTTTTTGCACATGTATGTATAGTGTGTATCTAGGCAAGGTAAATGGCTAAAAGAGTCAGGTATTGAATTGTTGAAACGTTGAGCTAAATAGCAGTAGTTTGCTTTGCAAAATTTATAATAAGCACTTGTGTGATAGTTTTTGCAGCATATTTATATATATATATATATATATATATGATCACTGAACATTAAGTGAAGTGAGTTGTGAAGCAAAGTTTTGTGCTATTTTATTTCAGATCAATGTGCAAATCCTGAACCAGCTCATTGGGAAGATTAGAGAGGAACTTCCAAATCTCGAAGCTAACGAGGAGACAGAGCAGATCAATAAACATTTTCACAACACATTAGAACATGTGCGAGCACGGCAGGAACTGGCACTCGAAGACAGTCCTTCATACGAGGGGGTAATTTTGTGAATGATATCTTATTGCTAGTAATAAATGTTGTTCTAAAACAGCAACCTATTTTCATCTATAAAATGTAGGAGTTATTAAGACTTATTTGGATTTTACATAACCCAGTCAGCCAATAATCAGTGTTAATATGTCAATTGTCGTTCATCTTTTAACACACTATTTCCATCGAATAGGCATGTGTAGTCATTATATACACATTTATATTATTGTAATCATATCAAATTTTGGTCTGTTAAGAGCAAACTTAATCTGAACAAACAGATATCATTATGATGACGAGTATGCATTATCCAGAAGGGAAAAATATCAGTGCCATGTACATATTTCATTGCATTGCATGATAGATATTGCTGAAATTTTATGTAGTGCAAAAAAGTGTGACCCTTGACTGTGAAACAAGTAAGAAGTGACACACTGACATTTCATGCTAGATATACAATATTGGAAATATAGATCACCACAAACAATATAATTATTTATTTTCAAAATTAAAGGGATACATTTCTCTAGGTTCTTCAAATATTTTCAGCTAAGATAGGTTAAAATTACGCTTCATAAAATGTTTTATGGATCAATATTTATTAGAAATATTTAAAAAAATTGTTTTAAAACTGACGGCTATACCGTTGCTTACAACGACGGTGGCGCCACTGGCAGAGCACGCACTGAAAAGTTGCGCAAAGCAACGTTTCGGCTGCAGGCTACAGACCGAGGGTGTTTCTTATTTCTTAATTTAAGAGCAGAAGGATTGCAATATCTTATAAATGACATACAGTTTCAGTTATAATATGGATAAATTTGTCCTAAAATGAATATCGTTTCTGTTAAATGGCATTTAATTACAAATATAATTGCACTTTTGGGCTCCACGGTAGGGAGCTTTTGCATTTTATAACTTCAATTTGTGCAATTTGGTGCATACTAAAGTGACTGTTTTCAGATATTGTAAGATTTTTTTTGCTGTGCGTGAGATATTTCAGCGTTTTATTCATGAAGAGATATTCATGCGTGAGATATCTCAGCATTTTTTGGCTGTGCGTGAGATATTGTAAGATCAGCGTGAGAGCGTGAGATTTGGTCAAAATGCGTGAGAGTTGGCAGCCCTAGTTACAGACCGAGGGCTAATCACAAAAGTTCAATTATATTGAATACCTAAAATCTAAATGCTATTTAACCGAACGATATTCATTTTAGGGCAAATTTATCCATAATATAACTGAAACTATATGTCGTTTATAAGATATTACAATCCTTTTGCTTTTAAATTAATAAATAAGAAACACCCTCGGTCTGTAGCCCTTGGCTGAAAAGTGGTTTTGTGCAACTTATTAGATAGTGCGCTTTGAGTAGCGCCACCATTATTGTAATCAAACTGTAGTAGTTAGTTTTAAAACATTTTTTAATAATATTTCTAATGGTGATTGAACCATGAAACTTTATGTAGCGTAATTTTAACCTAAATTAACTGAAAATAACCCTAGAACCTAGAGTAAACGATCCCTTTAATAAGTTTGAACTAAAGCATTACCTTAGGCATTCAACAGCATTGCCCCAAACTCTTTTCCTACTGTCGTCTTGCCAAATAAACTAGTGGTAGTGATGCTTACCAACAATTTTTGCATCAAATTCTAGATGATTTACTATTATTACATTTTACCAGATCTGATATTACCCTTTTGTCGTACGTCATGACAGCAGTCACGGGTAAGAACCAATGCTTATGCAAGCTGGCAGATAGCTAGCAGCTAGTAAGATTGAAGCCATATTCTGTATATTGCTAAGTCCTAGATTACAAATTTCCAAAGATTAACGAAATGTGTTTGCAATACAATTTTGAAAATTTCCCTACTACTGCAAAGGTAACAGCTGCAGGAATCTATATTTACGTGTATCCAAACATCAGAATTGCTTTCAAGTTACTCATTTCACTGTCAGGGGTCACTTAATTGTGTCAAATCATGGCCTAAAATGTTGGTTTCAACGTGTGTTTAGCCAGATAATTTAGAGATTTACTATTATCAGGAGTGAATAATAATAGATCTATTAATTATTCACTCCTGTTATTATTATCGCGAACATTTCTTAGTTGTAGTTGTAGTTGTAGACATGCACTGTATGATGAAGTATAACCAGTTCTGAATAGGGTAATGCTACGTTTACAATTTGCGTTTATCACCAGGGTGTTTGTGAGAGTAAATTAGGCGGATAGGGTCTATGTCCCCCAGGGTACTATCGGAGGGTACCCTGTGTACAGTTCGATATATCGGAAAGTACCTTGGTGTACTATCTGATGTCGCTGCATACCCTGCATTGTCCTACCGTACCCTGACTTTATGCTCCCGTTCCTTGTTTCCGGTCCGTTCCCGCAAAATATTCATTTCAGTATTCGCATTTCTTCTGGAAATTGTATGTATCACCATGTAATTATGCAACATGCAGGTGGATAGCACCGTTGTGCCCGTTGGTGGTGTATATTTGGGAAAATTTCTCTCAGATCATGAATATTTGAGTGATATGAAAATGAATATGAAAAAGGAAAAAATAGTCAAACATAGCATACATTTTTATTGGATTGCGATGTTTTGAGGTTTCTTCTATGTGATGTGGTAACTTGAGTGTATGGATTATGATATCAGTTAGCTGAAAGTCAGGGTACGTAGCGACATATCGTATAGTACCCAGAGGTACTTTCCGATATATCGAACCGTACCCAGGGTACCCTCCAATAGTACCCTGGGGGAAATAGACCCAATCAGCGTAAATTAGAAGCTTAAAATTTGCATGGTGATCTGTAAATAGTGTCATGCAAGTGATAACATAAGTTGCAATTTCAAAAGATAAAAAACATATATCTAAATCGTATGTGATATATTTACTTGCTTACAGGTACTTCTGACTTGATGTTGAAAAATAAAAATATGTATATATGTCATTTATAAATATCGTCTCATAGTGGATTGATATTTCAGTACAGAAGCACACATTTTATTTACATCACACAGCTTGGTCTACACATCGTGGATTTTACATTATTCAGTGCTACTTATATACTGTATTTCTTTCATCGATTGGAAAAATAAATCACAAGAACGTAAAATTTTAGAGATACATTTATAATTAGCTTCATTGAAGCTATTAATTGTGACAATACATGTTGAACTCAGTTTCTAAGAAAACTATAGATTAACATAAAAAAGACAGGCTATTCACTGAATCCTAAAACACGAAAGAACTTTTAATGCAGTGATTATAACCAAAATGCTTGTTCACGCTAAATGTTACAGTGTAGTGACGCCCATAGGGTCTATGTCTCCCTGACCTCTGTTTGACCTGGCTCGTTTAGCTATTTCTGACTAACCCTAACCCTATCAGATAGTTACCAGGGTTAGGGTTAGTCAGAAATAGCTAAACGAGCCAGGTCAAACAGAGGTCAGAGAGACATAGACCTCATCTGCTGTAGTGACTTCATACGTTACACAGTAATATTATACTCCTGATATTATACATGTCACAGTTTCTGTTAAAATGTCTATTTGAAACACATTGTGATGCTATATATCATATACCAGCAATAAAAAACACTACATTTTAATATCGTACCCACATTTTCAAAGTTGTGGTTCTGTGGACTCTACATCAGTTCACTAATTTTGTGTATTATGCATACATGACACGCATGCAAATTTTTACATACTGTTCTTACATAAAATGTTTTACCACACGTACATGCATGTGTAGTACATACATACATTTATACAACATACATGTATTATTTGTACTCATTACAACAACATGAACTCATGTAATTACCACAGTTTACATGAGAAAGAGACTTACAGGTCTTTTTGCTAAAGGTCGCTGATGCAACTCTCTTACTGCTTTCAGGGCACCCTCCCTAGTAAAAAAGTCTATGAGGCCTTCTCCATTAGGCTTTCCTCTTTCATTTAGCCCCAGCCGAACAGAATCGGGAACAACGTTGTGATTTTGGAAAAAAGCTAGGATATCATTAATAGGTATGTCATGTGAGATATTACTTATTTTAACTGTGGTAAACTGCCCTCGTCCATAAGGCATATCCATATGCAGTCCATAACCAGGTCTATCATTTCCACCTCGGAGCATAGGCATGTCCATTGGTCCGCCACAAGGTCTGTCATCGCCTCCTCGTAGCAATGGCATGTCCATTGGTCTGCCAGCATGTCTGTTGTCATTGCCTCGAAGCAATGGCATGTCCATTGGTCTGTTAGCAAGTCTCTCATCGTTACCTCTTAGCAATGGCATGTCCATTGGTCCGGCACTTGCTCTCTCATCGTTACCTCGTAGCAACGGCATATCCCTTAGTCTCCCACCTGGTCTGTCATCGTGTAATGGACCATAATCATCCCTCCGGTCCAAAAGTGATCTGTCGCGTTCAGATCCACGTCCTCTGTTATCACGCCTCTGAATGTCCATTTGATTATCACTTGGACCGCGCCTATCATAGTCCATATCTTGATGGTCCATTCCAGGTCGCAGTCCAAGCAGTGGTCGCCCGTGGCCTTCTCTTCTTTCATTACCAAGTGGCCTGATTGAGCTACCTCCTGTTTCATTTGGCCTGTGGTCTATATCCATAATTCTTCCAGGACCACCATACATACCCAATCTGCCATCCACGCGATAGCTCCTTGGGTTGTTTTCCATGCCATGATGCATATCTTCATCTAATAATCCAGGTCTTGCAGGCATACCCCTTCCATCTCGACCATCATCCATAAATCTTTGCTGCCCCGGTGAAAAGTTTCTTGCCAATGACTGGGGTGCATTAATTCCTGGGAACTGTAATTGGTTGGCCATGCCATGCACAGGTCCTGGGTGCACATTCATTTGACTTCCTATTCTCCTCTGAGGTACTAGCCCACCCGCCACATCTTCAGGGGCATTGCCTAGCAAACCTGATCGCACAGGCTTGTCACCCTTCAATATTCCACCCCTGCTCTCCTGTGCTGCCCTTGTGTCTGTGTCAGGTCCTCGATTTCGATCATTCCTACCTTTGCTACTCTCATCTAGGACATTGCTATTTTTCATGACTGGTGCGACGCGATTTGACGGTGCACTATCTCGTCTCTCACCACTATCTTGTCTATTAGCAGCAGCCTTTCTTCTTTCCTCACGCCGCTTGTCTGCTTCTTTCACAGCATGCACATCATCTAGATTAGCTGGTTTTAACTCGATAGGTCTATTTCTCAGTTGCCTCCCATTTCTATCAAGAGCTCGCTCGTAGTCTTCTTTAGTGGCAGGCTCTATGTAACAATTTCCTTCGGAAGAAATTAAAATGCCATTCTTAACAATCTCAATACCATGCAAAAATGATGCAACCATTTCATTGTTACATCTATATGGCAAATTGCTCATTTTAATAAAATTGTTTGAAGAAGAGGACACCCTGGTTCTACTTTCTGAGTGAAACCTGTCGTGCGTTTCATTATTATCAGTGTTCTTGTTTTGTTTTTCTTCTGTAGGCATCTGAGAGCTGTTAGGCTTTTCTGCATCCAATGGCTGGGCATCATTGCCGCGTACATCTTCTTGTACATCAACATATCTATGCCCCAATTTCATTCTGTTGTATGCCAGTGCAGTTTCTACATCTCCTCGTGATTTCAGTTTAATGTAACCAGTCCCTGCTGCCGAGTGAGTGCTCGCCTGTAGAGTAATATTATCATCATTGAGGTGCAACTTGTCAAAGAAACGGACCACCTCTTTTTTTCCCACTTGGATCGGCATATTCCGGAGAACAATTTTATATGCCTTCGAAGTGGACAACTGTGGTTTTTCATTGACGTCTGATTTTCTTGCTTCATTCTTCTGTGCCGGCATATTTGACAGATTTCTATTTTCGCCTTCTTTCTCAGCTGGCATGCTTTTTGCCTTTTCATCATCCTTGTCATCTTTGCCTTTTGCTTTGTCGTCATCCTTTTTATCAGCCGAGCTCGGCAAAGCTGCCCCATCGGATTTTACGACGTCCAAGTCTCGAACTGGAGATTTCCTTGTGCTACGACTATGAGAGGACTCTCTTGAAGATCGCTTCGATCTACCTCTCTCTGATGAACGATCACGTCGGTCACGCACTCTATCCTTTGAACGACCTCTACGATCTCTAGAAGACCCTCGTTTCTCTCGTGTGTCTCTCCGACTGTGTCGCGAATCTTTTCTTTCAGTATCGCGTCGCGATCCAGAACGAGTGTCCCTACGATCTTGGTCACCTCGCCTGCGATCACTGTCCTTGCTCGTTTCTATTTGCAGTTGGTTGTTAGACGAATGGCTGTCCAGCGGTGGTTGCCGCTTATCTGAAGATCCAGCTTCTCTCCTATCTGCAGATCTCTCATCTCTACGGCCAAGACTTTCCTCTCTATCCTGCACGTCACGTTGCCTGCTAGACGCCCTGGGCTTTGATAAGTCAATGTGATCTGCAAACGGCCCCCTCCGTTCAACAGCACCACTCTGGTCTGCTGGACGACCACGATCTGTTAGCAAACCTACTTGATTAACATTGGGTACTCTATGTTGAAGACGACCATCGCGATCCATAAGCGGTCCCCTTTGCATCTCCATTCTCTGGCCCAAGGAATTTTCTCGCTGATCAATTTGGTTTATCATGTCATTTTCGTCCAGAAGCGGGGGCATTGTACGAGGCGCGAATCTCTGACCACCAGGATGGCTACCTGGTCGATTGAAAGCGGGTCCTCTATGCTCAGGGAAATTACCTCTTTCATTTAGCAGTGGTCCTCTGTTATCAACAGGAGCACCCCTTCTATCAAATATGGGGCCCCGTGGATTGGGTATAGGGTCTCTCTGATTAACTGGCATACCTCTCTGACCAAGTTGGTTCATAGGCACCCTCTCACGGGACATGGGAAATCTGTCATCTACAGGCACATTAGCTATGCCAGGTTGGGGACCTACACGAGTCATGCCATTAAATCCTCGCTCACTTACTTGTGTTTCAGAGTAGCCCCTTGGTGGTCCCTGTTGGTGAACAAGACCTGAAAGTGCTTGTTGATCCATCGGACCAAGACCTCTATTATCTGGCCCCAGCTCTGCCACCCGATCTACTTGAAGTTGTGTAAAATTGTCAGGTGCCAATTGCTTCTGCTGTATCGGTTGGCCCATGGATAGACCCCCTCGGTTACTTGATAGCCCTGGCCTGTCAATTATTCTGTGACCTGGACCAGGTCTATCTTGAATTGCGTCATCGAAGTATGCCTGCGGATTGTCTGCTTCTCTTTGTGCTCTCTGGCCAAATTGCTGCTGTCTGCTCATTGGCACATCTAAATTTCTGTTAATTGCTGACGTTGGCATTTCTGCGGAATTTGATTGTTGCTCAAGGTTAGCTTTCCATCCCCCAGGGGACTGTCCATAAGTTGGGTCACACGCGATGTGAAATACTTCTGGTGGCACAGACCGGATATTTACTGGGGCGCCCCTAATGCATTCACCATTCATTCGGAAGGCTGCACTGAGGCTCCTTTCATTATCAAATTTCACTAGTGAAATTCCAATATATCCTCTTTGGTCATTCACCATTTTGATGCCATCTCTTGCTATGAAGAGGTGTTTGAAGAACTGTCGTATATCTCTGTAACTCGAACTAGGCGGTATATTCGACATCTCTATTGTAAACTCTGACAAACGCTGCCGCTTGCCATCCCCCTGGGATCTAATATCTTCAACTTCTCTTTTAAGTCCCTGCGGATGTACCTGATCAGAGAATCGTGTATAGCCTGGTTGACCCTGCACAGGCACCATTGGCTGAAACAGATCCTGTGTCACGTCATTCTGATTGCTGAACCCAGAGCTCACCAAGCTGTGATTAGTGAAACTACTTACATGTGTGCCTTCTTGCATTGTAGGGAAGGCCATTATAGATTGTGAGTGACTACCATATGTGGCTTGCGTGGACATTATTTGTGGCTGTTGGCTAGTAACACCAAATTGGGGCAGTTGAGCATTTGCCATGGGTAAAGACATCATATGCGAATTCGCCCCTGGCAGGTTTGGCAGCTGCGAACTTGCCCCTGCCATAGATGACAGCTGTGAATTTGTTCCTGGATGAGGCCCACTAAGTTGTGCGGACTGAAGGATGTTTTGCAGATTCTGCACACTGATTTGACCCATTAGATTAGTTAGTGGGCTGTTCAAATCACTTGCCCCACCACCGACTACGGGCGGCTGCTGTTGCATGCCCGCCTGCAGAACCCCTCTCCCCATCCCCACCTGCTGCTGTACTGTGTCACCAACTATTCCTCGTTGCTGAAACATTAGCTGCTGGTTATTCCCAGCAAGCAATGCATGCTGTTGGTACAACTGTTGCTGCTGCAGTGCTTGCTGAGCCGAAATGTTGGACTGGGGATCATCTTCACTCGCTGGACTCTTTTCCGGTTGTTCCGTGTCGCCCTTCCTCGTGTCGACCATACCAAGCGAGCCGCGCGCAAGATCGATAATGTTCTGCATCTCGTTCTTACTGCTAAGCTTCAGCTTCACGCGACCGTTCTTGAGTTTCGTGCGATCGCGGTCCATCGCCTGACGAGCGTCTTCGTCCGTCGTGAACGCGATGAAGGCATCTCCATTTTCTCCACCAATGATGTGCACACCGCCATCTGGGATGCTAAGACCATGGAAGAAGTTTCTAATGTCTATTGCCTTCGCCTCCCACGGCAAATTCTGAAGCCTTATGATGACTGACATTGTAGTAGTCTACCTGTTGGAATACATGAAATGGAGTGCATGTCGTTAGGTCAAGGGCCGGATGAGGTTCATTGTATTTAATGAAGGGATTCAGTGTATACACCGCTAACAGTTGCAGCTGTTGTCTTCCCGTGCCGATGAATAACAACAGAAGTCGCCGCTGGTGAAGGTGAAGGTCTTTTACAGCTGGAACAAATGCCACACAATGCGTGGATGGGCTTTTTTTATTCTAAAAATCTAATGCTCTGAACATCTTGATAAGCAGCTGCACAAGCAGGTAGGTGAACCTGTGATATCGCTGGCTAGATGAGAAGGAAGCTGTAATATAGAAATGTGGATAAAAATAAATTTATAGATACACGTCTGCATATTTCTAAAATTACTAATATGCTGCTGCCAATTATTAGTCTTATGAAAAGAGATGGTGGGCTTAACGTTAAATCTTTATACTTTTTGAACGTACATAGATTAATGCATGGGTTCATCTAATTCCATATGCAAACAAAAGAAGGGCATATTAAGGAATGGCAATTGGTGTATTCATATTTGATCTATTTGCTATTATTATGGTAAACTGTGGTAAGGTAAATTAAGCATAGTGAGCTTTGGCCAACTGAATGGAGCATATATAACAGCTGCGTCATTGATGGTAAACTGGGAGGGGTGATGAGGAGTTGTGAGGTTCTTTATTATTGTGGTTGACGTGCCGCATGTAATTTAAGTGGAAGGGGGCAGTAGGGGATCACCTCATAGTTCTTATATATATAGTTCACCAGGGCCATAGGCTGAGCAAATTCCTGGGGGTCAAAATGCCTTGGCACTAATGAGGCGGGTGAGTGATTAGTCGCTCGAGGCAAGTCCCTGTCACCGAATCTGCCGGTGTAAATTCTTATAAATAAGTATGGCTGAATTTGCTTCATTACATTATGACTCAACTGTGTAAAGATGAGCGACGGGCGCAGCTCTTGATCGACATCATAGTGTGGTAGGGGCGAGTAAGACAAGGCTTTCACGGATAAGTGACAAAAAAAATCACGTTAGGGTTATTTACGATTATTAGCCAAGCTTATTTTTTAATTTTTCTCCAAAATAAAGGGGGGCAGCTGCCCCCCCCCCCAGAGGCTATGGCCCTGTTCACAAATTAAACGTATTTTGAGCTTGTAGAGTTTACACCTACGTATTAAGTAATGTGTCAACATAACTTGGAATCAGATCTCTAATTCACTAGACGCATATAAAGTCACACCTGTATACACCAGTCACTGGCCTCTATGGACAGGTGGTCTTTTTGACCTTTTATCAAGCGATATAAGCAATGCATAATATTGCCCCGTATTTTTTTAGTAATGTCACACTCGTTTTAATATGTGATCACCTGCGTTATGACATGAAATTCCACTGCTTTTAGAAATCTTTGCATTGTAAACGTTATGGTGGGGGCATGGGAGATTAAGGTCGAGAAACTGGAGGAGGGAACAAAGAGGTAGGAGAAGATCAGGAGAAGGTGGAGATGGTGGAAGTGGTCGAAGATGAAGAGAGTAGATGATGAGAAGGGGTAGGGAAAGGAGAGGGGAGGGCGAGAAGGGCTGGGAATGTGGGGAGATGTCGTATATAGTGTGGAGAAAGTGGTGAGGGGAGAATATGTAGGTGAAATGGGTGGGGAGGAGAGAATAGTGATGAAGGGAAAATCAGTTAAGGTGGGGAGGAAGTTGAGAAGGGATGGTGAGAATATGTAGGTGGAGTGGAAAAGGGACAGTTACGAAGGAGATGGGGTGGGCAGAAGTGGAAACATGGTACAGAAGATATATAGGCCAGGAGGTGAAACAGAGGGGGGAATAGCGTGGTGAAGGAGAGAGAAGGCCGGGGAGGATTGTCTACACACTTGGATCTATAAACAGAATTGTGTCTTGGCTGTCTAGAATACATTTAAGGATTGTGAGTGCATGGAAGGGGAAGTGGAGTTCCAAAAGGAGCCAAATCAGTTGGCTTTTTATACGTTATGTTTAGTATGGCTGTTTATACAAGCAGTGCCAGTGTTGTAGTACTTATATGATACCACTATGCTTGACAATGTCTGACTTTCTTAGTGTCCCAGTAAAGCAAATCATTTACCTACACAGACTCACATGTTCACTTATGCCAACAGTTTGAAATGCATTTACTTAGGCTGAAGGGGTCGTTGTCGTATAGGGTACTACATAATATGTATACATAAATGTAATATAATGCTATAGTCTAGGGAGTCGCCTACGCCTACTCCCTAACCCCAACCATATCAGATAGTTACCTTGGGTACATATATGTAGTACCCTATACGACAACGACCCCTTCAGCTTTACGCAGGGTAATATCTATAAGCAACAATCATTAACATTGTTGTTATTCATTATATCTCCAACACACTGAAGTCAACTTTTCATAAGGGTTGAGCAGGGGTACGTTCATTAGTCCAACTATCAACAACAGTGACACATATAAATGGGTTCACACGCAGCATTCATATTCAGCTCGTAGTGTGTCAATCTAAAATTGTGGTACAAGGTCAAAATGGATGTCAATGGTCAAAGACCAAGGAGGGAGAAGTGGGGTGTGTGACTCATACTTTATTGCAATCAAAAATTGCAACACAACTTTCAACAGATTGGCTTTGCATTAGGTGTGTACGGCGATAGTGAGGTGCATCTTTATGCGGAATAAAATGTAACATTAAGCAGCCATAAGTTTACATTCCAAACATTTTAGAGAAGACGAGTGGATGGACCGCAGATGACCAAAGCTACTTTTCTAAAACTCCGACATAACTGCACTAATTGCACAACTATATAATGACCAAATAAACATGTCACAGGACAACGAGCTTGAAGGTCACCTTGCTGAATTCAGACCTCTTGTAGTAGACAACCAGGCCGAGTACTGAGACAAGAAAAAACAATACCGCATCCTGATGACTCGCTCCCAGTCTACGCCCATGCAACATGAGGCACAGCACTGCATTAACATTGCAAGACAGACATCTTTACAAGTGGATGGCAGAAACAACCAAAGTGGATAGACAGAGAACAAGTAGCAGTGACCTAATAGTTAGCACTTGGAAGCGGTCTCAAGAGTTTGGGGTTTTAGATGCACCTTGGTCATTGCCGATGTACCTTTGAGCAAGGTACTTTCCCCTTATTTGCTGTAGCCAATTCCAGCAGACAAATATCGAAGACAAGACAGCTCAGCAGTAATGACCCTGCCTCCAATACGAGTTGAAGTGTAAGCAATAACTAATTTGTGTTGCGCCCTGGCAAAAGCAATTTACTCTCCTTACCCAATTTTAAGTTTGATACCCTGCAGGCATTATTGTGGGCGCTTGTTGGGCAAGGGTTTCTAGACAACAAATATAAAAAACAACTTGGCATTTAACATATAATTAGTATAGCATATTTCTGTGGATTATGTTGAGCAGTATTTCGTAGTTTCCTCACTGTTACTTGCACGATTTCATAGTACTTCAATGCTAGTGTCAGCTTCACATCCAAATGAGCCTACATGTGGGGTTATGTGACCTTGCAAGGTTTTAGTATGCTCATGGGTTTGGTGGCTATAACTAATCAGAGCGCCTTGTAGGGACTGACGTAGAATGTGAATAGATATATTTTGTAAGAGCACCACTTCTCAAACAGTAAAGGTTTGTCAGTGGCGACGGTATGAAAGCGTGAAGCGAGTATGTAGCCACTTGGTGCTTCTTACTGCAATATCCTATAAAAGTGGACAGCATATGGAAGTTTGCCATTACATCCAGTCCAGTAGCCACGTAATGGTATTCGGTCCGTGACGAGTCAGGTTTCAATAATGAAACAGAGAAAGATGTCATCAAGAGCTAATAATACCTTATTGGTATATAATAGGTATTATTAGCTCTCGATGTCATACTTGTGTCAAACAAGTGCATACCGAAACATCGACACATACAGGAGACATGAGACATGACCTTTCCGCTGCGGAGCATAACAACGCAGTGCCATAACATCCCTGCACATGCACTTGCACCTGAAACTAGCAACTTTGCTTCTGAACAAGCACTGACCTAGTACGAGTCTTGCAATGCTAACATCTCATTGGGGGTTTCTTTGGTGAGAGAAGAAGTGGCAGGTGGAAACCTTGAGACAACGCCATACTAACAATATCAATTATTACGAGGTCTGAAAGCTGGGTGAATCCAGAGGCTATGCAATACCAGTATGGGGCGAGACGTTACAGTCACGTGTGTTGGTGGCACTTCATCTGGAAGCCTTTCGCATGCTTCATGAATTTTCATGCATTTCAGTGGAATCGCATTAGTAAGAGCTGCACCATTGATCTTACTGGGAAGACACAACCATAAAGCTGTAGCAGTAGAACCTGGTTTGTTCTGTGGCTAGACTAATGCGACAATCAAGCCAAGCAGTGTGCAGGAGAGACTCTGTTTTCAGAATTTGTGTTTGGAAGAGGGATGGACAGTATGCTATCACCCACTTCTCTTCGTCCTCCTTTCCCTCATACACGCACAAACACTCAGTCGCTCCCCACCCTCACTTCTTGTGGAGATACAACATTTATGTATGATCGAGGAAACATGTTATTAGCTGGAGGCGGTCATTATTGGAAAATGAAGTTCAGTCGTGGTGTATCTGCACCATGTAGTTGATCGGCAACCCACAACATCCAGAGAATGTGTTACTAATATGACGTAAGATATTGCAGTAACATGAGCCAACCGTGTTTCACCTGGGAGATGCCATGTGCCTTCACATGCGAATGAGATCTTGTGCATTTTAGTGGAGTTGCTGTTTCGTATTACTGATGCAGTATTATTGTTGGTTGGACTTGGTTATTGGTGAAGTCCAGACCTTTAGGCTGCAGCCGTAGTACCTGGTTTGTTCCGTGGCTAGACCTGCAACAACCATCCCGAGCAGAGTGCAAGAGAAGATTGCTCTCAGAATTTGCATTTGGAAGAAAGGACGTTGATATAGCACATGCAAGTGATTAAAA